ATATATATATAAATATATAAAATATATGAAAAATTGATGTGGCTACTCAAATGAAAGGTCTCGGTGAGTGTAATGTCGTAATGAGCTTATATCTTTAAAAACATCAATAGTTTACAATATATATATGTTAAATTGCGCTGTACTTTCTTAAATATTGACATTTATAAAGATACAGGCTCATCCTGATGTTACACTCATCAAGAGCTTTCATTTGACTACCCACATGCATTTTTTATATATTTTTCATATATACATATATATAATATCCATAAATATATAAAATATATGAAAAATTGATGTGGCTACTCAAATGAAAGGTCACGATGAGTGTAATGTCAGGGTGAGCTTATATCTTTAAAAATGTCAATAGTTCACAAGATACGATGTAATTTCTTAATTATGTATCTAGAGATAGAGTATTTTTGAATTTAACTTTTAAGAAAAATTTCCTATAATTTATACTTACATTCTCGTTCGGCAATTATTGGAGGATCAGTAGAAGGCAATGGTATGCAAATAATTCGTCCTATCACCATAACAAGGAACCCGCCCCAAATCATTACTCTCCTTTCGTCAAATCTATCCCAAGTAATTAATTTATTAATTTTCTTTTTAAAAAATTTTTTAGTCATTTTATCTTAATATAATAGTTACCTTTTGCACAGGGGCTCAATAATAACAAAAACAATACAAGCTATAACAGCCCCGACACTCATTACTATCCCCATATAATAAAGAGACTCCTTTTTAGTCCATGCAAATTGATCCATGGTCAACGGAGTACCCAGTCTATAAAAAAAAAAAAAATTATTTTATTAAACTAATTAATTATCACTCTATTTATTAGAACAATAAAAAATTTTACATACGTTTCTAGTAATACAAAATTGAAAACTAAAATAATGAAAGCACAAATGAGCGTCCAAGCTGCTACATAATCTGGCTTTATTGATTTCCATGCTTCTTTTTCTATAAAAAAAAAATTAAAAATGAATAATACTAATTAAAAAGCTTAAATTTCCTAATTTCTACTTTAATATTTTTAATTAAATATTTAACTCGAAAATTTTTTTAAATAAAATTTGTAAAAATATTAATTCTACTTTTGAATCATTTAAAATTAGCGCGCTCAAATTTTTAATTCAAATTTTAGCTATCAGTAATTATTGTAAAGAGAAGCTTGCATTTTTTTCTTTATATATTAAATTTTTTTGGAGTAAAATTACCAGAAGCTTTCCCTTGATCTCTCATAGCTTCACGGGCAGCGATTTTGTGTTCCTTGAAGACCCAGGGCAGGATAAAAATGAAATTAAGCACTCCGAAGAATACATTTATCCAGCCGGACATTGTGTACATGTTGAAAGGCAGTCCCCAGATAGTAAACCCTGTATCTCCTAAGGGAGTCACTGCTGCTTGAAGACCTGGACCTACGACGAATCCTAATACCTGAGCTAGTGAAACCATCGACACGGCTTTTGTTCTTTCAGCTAATTTTGTTGCAGCTGATAAGTAAGATCTCGCTACTGCGATGTTTGCTGTTAAAATAGAAATTTTATCAATTATTTAATAGTAATTTTGTAGTTTTCAAAGATATAAGCTCATCTTGATGTTATACTCATCAAAAGCTTTCATTTGAGTACCCACATGCATTTTTTATATATATATAATATATATAAATATATAAAATATATAAAAAATTGATATTGGTATTCAAATGAAAGATCTCGATGAGTGTAATGTCGGGATGAGCTTATATCTTTAAAAATGTCAATAGTCACATGCATTTTGATATATTTTTCATGTATATAATATATATTTTAAAGATATAAGCTCATTCTGATGTTATACTCATCAAGAGCTTTCATTTGAGTACCTACATGCATTTTTGATATATTTTTCATATATACATATATATAATATATATAAATATATAAAATATATGAAAAATTGATGTGGGTACTCAAATGAAAGGTCTCGATAAGTGTAACATCAGGATGAGCTTATATCTTTAAAAATGTCAATATTTCCCACGATAAAAGGTCATTTCTTAATAATGTATCTTAGAGAGTCTAAAATTTTTTGGTATTCTTCAATTATTATATCAAAATAAAAATTTACCTGAACTAACCCCGACAATAAACCTTGCAGCAACCATCCATGTCTTTTTATCACCAGGAATTATTTCAAGAGTACTATAAATAACTGATGCAACTACAAATAGTGCTAATGTTAATAATAATGGAAGTCGAACAGATCCGCGCTTGTTCCCCCACCATCCAATTATTGGGGAGAATAACATCTGCCCAAATGGATTTGCTGCTACTACATACCCGATAAATTCTTTATGTACACTAGGATCTAACTAAACAAAAAAGTTTGATAAAAAAAAATCTTTAATTACAAAAATTTTCTTTAATAAAAATATTTTCAAGCCAAAATTTATTAAAAAAAATTTTTTTTTTAACTAATTATTAATTATTAATAAATTGTAATAAAATAATTACCTTATCTAAATATGGCCAAACTCCAGTTAAAACAATACTGAACGCTAAAGACATTAAAAACATTGTAAAATATATAACATAAATACTCCTCCATCTTTCTGTGCGTTCTTCAACGGTCTCCAAATCGTCGTCAACTCTCAATTTTCGTTTACGTTCCGACGAACGTAATAATTTAACGCAAGGTAGACATTCCATTTTTTATAGAAAAAATTTAACTATTCATAAAAATATATATTTAACTATTCATAAAAATATATCTGGTAATCGATTAATTATCACTTATCGCTTAATATCAGCGGTAATCACAAGATAATTATCAGAGTATAATTAAATAATTATCGTATCTAGTGACAATCATTTTCGTTAACTTTTATCTTTATTTCGACATTAAAATAAGTAACTAATTATTTTATTATTTGTCATCTAATGGCCTTAGTTGTTAATGTTAAAGCATTCATCACATATCGTTTATCTGGAAGTAAAAAATTTTTTTTATTATTATTATTATTTTTTATTGTTATGTAATTAATTAATTATTATTATTTTTACTTACTAGTCATTGATATTCAATGAGATCAGTCATTGTGGCAAGAGAAATTTGACTCTGAAAAAAAAGAAAGTTTTTGTTAGTAAGTAGGTTGAATTTTAGAAGAAATTTTTTAATTAATTAATTCATAGAAACATAGAAAAATTTTAATTTTTAGAATTTTTTAAAATTTTGATTTTTAGAATTTTAATTATTAGAATTTTTAAGTTCTAATTTTTAAAATTTTAATTATTAGAATTTTTAAGTTCCAATTTTTAGAATTTTAAATATTAGAATTTTTAGAATTTTAATAATTAGTATTTTAAAAAATTCTAATTTTTAGAATTTTTTTAAATTTTGATTTTTAGAATTTTAATTATTAGAATTTTTAAGTTCTAATTTTTAGAATTTTAATTATTAGTATTTTAAAAAATTCTAATTATTAGTATTTTAAAAAATTCTAATTTTTAGAATTTTTAAAAATTTTGATTTTTAGAATTTTAACTATAAGAATTTTAAAAATTCTAATTTTTAGAATTTTTTAAAATTTTGATTTTTAGAATTTTAATTATTAGAATCTTAAAAAATTTTGTTTTTTAGAATTTTTTAAAATTCTAATTTTTTAGAATAACAATTTTTAGAATTAAAAAAAATTTTGATTTTTTCTCCATTTTAAATTAATAAATTTGTTAATTAAAATTCACTAAATTGAAAGTTTTTATCGTATTTTTAAATTAAAAAAAAAATTTTTAATCCAAAACTGTAAAATTATTCTTCTTTTTTGATGAATTTTCTTTTTTTTTTTTTCAAATAAAAATTTACAAAATTTCATTTTTGCTTTCATTACAAAAATTTCTTTTTATTTCTCAAAAAATATATATTCAATCTACGGCCATTTGATTCCTGGTAATTTTTCTATCTATCGAATAAAAAACCTGTTTGATTCGCTATTTCAAGGTCAGAATTTAAAATAACTTTTAAAAAAAAAAAAAAAAAAAATTATTTCTAATCCTAGGATTTATAGATAGCGACTAAGTAAACATTCCAACTAGTATATAGATAACTTTAATTGGTAATTATTGAATTTCATTAAGAAATTTATTTATAATTTAACCAATTTTTTAAGCTTAGAAATATATTTTTTTCTTTTTAAAATTTATAAATTAATAATTTATTGAGGAACTTTATTTAAGTCACTTGATGATTAATTAAACGATTATAAATTAATTAGTATGATAAAAAGGCTTCAAAGTCTCAATTATCTAAACTTTTTTTTATTATTTTATTTCTGTAACGGAAACAAAGTGATTATATTCCAATCGTATGTCAAATGTCTGCTATTAAGATATCTCTCCAAGCTCTAAGTTAAATAGTATTAAAATTATTGCGCTTGGAAATTATAATTTATAGTTTATAAGCACAGAAAAATAATCTATGTACAAGAAATATTGCATGCTAATAATTATGTAATTATTATAGATGAAAAAAAAAAAAAATTGTTTACATGTTTTTTAAGCAATTTTATGAGGTAATATTAAATAGATCATATAGATAGAGCAGGAAAAATTCTAATTTTTAGAATTTTTTTAAATTTTGATTTTTAGAATTTTAATTATTAGAATCTTAAAAAATTTTGTTTTTTAGAATTTTTTAAAATTCTAATTTTTTAGAATAACAATTTTTAGAATTAAAAAAAATTTTGATTTTTTCTCCATTTTAAATTAATAAATTTGTTAATTAAAATTCACTAAATTGAAAGTTTTTATCGTATTTTTAAATTAAAAAAAAAATTTTTAATCCAAAACTGTAAAATTATTCTTCTTTTTTGATGAATTTTCTTTTTTTTTTTTTCAAATAAAAATTTACAAAATTTCATTTTTGCTTTCATTACAAAAATTTCTTTTTATTTCTCAAAAAATATATATTCAATCTACGGCCATTTGATTCCTGGTAATTTTTCTATCTATCGAATAAAAAACCTGTTTGATTCGCTATTTCAAGGTCAGAATTTAAAATAACTTTTAAAAAAAAAAAAATAAAATTATTTCTAATCCTAGGATTTATAGATAGCGACTAAGTAAACATTCCAACTAGTATATAGATAACTTTAATTGGTAATTATTGAATTTCATTAAGAAATTTATTTATAATTTAACCAATTTTTTAAGCTTAGAAATATATTTTTTTCTTTTTAAAATTTATAAATTAATAATTTATTGAGGAACTTTATTTAAGTCACTTGATGATTAATTAAACGATTATAAATTAATTAGTATGATAAAAAGGCTTCAAAGTCTCAATTATCTAAACTTTTTTTTATTATTTTATTTCTGTAACGGAAACAAAGTGATTATATTCCAATCGTATGTCAAATGTCTGCTATTAAGATATCTCTCCAAGCTCTAAGTTAAATAGTATTAAAATTATTGCGCTTGGAAATTATAATTTATAGTTTATAAGCACAGAAAAATAATCTATGTACAAGAAATATTGCATGCTAATAATTATGTAATTATTATAGATGAAAAAAAAAAAAAATTGTTTACATGTTTTTTAAGCAATTTTATGAGGTAATATTAAATAGATCATATAGATAGAGCAGGTAATTACTAATTAAAAAAATTTTGTGTTTTAAATTTAATTTTTAAAGTCTAGAATGATTATAAATTGAAGAAAAATTTTTTTTCACGAAAAGAATGAGATTATACTGGATATAATCCCAGATTATACTGAGTGGAAAAAAAAATTCAGATAGTAGCTAGTATAATTCAGATAACAATGAGTATAATCCAGATTACAATGAGTATAATCCAGATATTATTCAGTGTAATCTGGATTATACTAGCTACCATCTGAAATTTTTTTTTCACCTCAGATGTCACTGAGTATAATCTGAGATGGTATCCAGTGTCATCTTGTTCTTTTCCGTGAGTATGATAAAAAGGCTTCAAAGTCTCAATTATCTAAACTTTTTTTTATTATTTTATTTCTGTAACGGAAACAAAGTGATTATATTCCAATCGTATGTCAAATGTCTGCTATTAAGATATCTCTCCAAGCTCTAAGTTAAATAGTATTAAAATTATTGCGCTTGGAAATTATAATTTATAGTTTATAAGCACAGAAAAATAATCTATGTACAAGAAATATTGCATGCTAATAATTATGTAATTATTATAGATGAAAAAAAAAAAAAATTGTTTACATGTTTTTTAAGCAATTTTATGAGGTAATATTAAATAGATCATATAGATAGAGCAGGTAATTACTAATTAAAAAAATTTTGTGTTTTAAATTTAATTTTTAAAGTCTAGAATGATTATAAATTGAAGAAAAATTTTTTTTCACGAAAAGAATGAGATTATACTGGATATAATCCCAGATTATACTGAGTGGAAAAAAAAATTCAGATAGTAGCTAGTATAATTCAGATAACAATGAGTATAATCCAGATTACAATGAGTATAATCCAGATATTATTCAGTGTAATCTGGATTATACTAGCTACCATCTGAAATTTTTTTTCACCTCAGATGTCACTGAGTATAATCTGAGATGGTATCCAGTGTCATCTTGTTCTTTCCGTGTTTGAATAATTATTGATAAATTATTTTGCAAAAAGTGAAATTCAAAAATTTTTTTTAATTTTCTTAATTTTTACGCTGAAAAATTAATTTTTTGCCAAAATTTTATTAAAAAAAATTATTTCTTACAAAATTAATAAAATAAATGTCAATTTTATTAATTAACAATAAAATTTTTAAATATAAAAAAAAAATAAATTCGATTTTAATTGCTCGAAATTTTTATAAAATTTGTAATTAAAAAAATAAAAATATTTCCCGTAAAAAATATTAAAACTTTTAATAAAAAAAAATTCGAGAAATTTATAAGATCCTTTTTAAATTACCAAAAAAAAAAAACAAAATCACCAACTAAATGTTTTATTTTTAAATTAAAAAAAAAAAAAACAAGCCGCAATAAATAAATAAAAAATAAATTAGAACTAAATAATATTTTTTTAAAAATTTCATTTTCTGTTTTTTACAAATGAAAATTTTTTTTTAATAGTTTTTTTAATAAAATAAAATTCTATAAATTTTTAGATGCCGGCCAACTTAATTTTAAAAATATAAATAATAAATTTTAAATGCTGTTATTTTGGCTCGAAAATAAAAATAAAAAATTATTTCAGCATTATCATCGTGAAAAAAATAACACACATTACCGATAACACAACAAGCAACAAGCAACAAACGATGAGTAAGCATGAAAACAAAGAAGACAAGATTAAATAAACCGCGATCTCTTTTGTCTTGGATGTTATCCAGAAAATTTAATATATACATTAGATTTTCTCAATCAAAGTTTATAATTATTATAAATAATTACCGATTAAAATTGTTTTATTTAATTAAAAAAAAATTATTATTAAATTTGAAGAATTTTCTTTCTGAAAAAGAGATTTTCCTTTCACTTTTTGTAATAAAAAAAAAAAATATATATATATATATACTTAAAATAAAAACTTACCGTCATTATTTAAATAAAGAACACTTAATAAAATTTTAAGTAACTAAAAAATAAAAACATATTAGAGTAAAAATTTATTTAAATTGTTTTTGTTGGTATAAAAAAGAAAACATTAAGTATAATAATAATTATTGTAAAAAACAGAATTACGCTGAGTACTTTACGTTAAATAAGAGCGTACTGAGCGTGATAGTAAGAGTAGAGTGCACACATACTGTTTTTTCTCGGATGGTGGGATGGAAGCTAGCTATCAATGTGAGTTTGTTGTCACGACAACCTTCCCACACGCATACTGACTATTAAATTATTACCCCCTCTTTGTACTTTGTTTATCCTTGAGATATCTACATACCAAGCTAGCTAGGCACAGTAACGTATACTATCGGGCATAGATCCTCGACCCATAGATCATAGATTTTTCCATCTTCTATCTAGTTCAATTTATTTTTTTTTGCGTTTATTTTTATTGCGAGCGCTGACGCGCTCGCAATATTTAAATTTCCGCGGGAAATTTTAGTCATGCGCAATGTCTACATTTTTGTTCATTAGGTCGGAAGATTTTTTTTTGGTAATTAAAAATTTTTTTTATTGAAAAATATTTTTATTAAGCGGCTAATATTGATAAAAAATATTTTTTTATGTGATAAATTATATAAAGAATTTATTTATTTTAGAATTTATTAAAAGGTATAATGATTAATGTTATGATTAATTTTTATAATGTTAAATATCAATATTTAATTATAAAAAACAAAGACTATAAATTAATAAGGAAAATTTTTTTGTAAATATTTTATTTTTGAATTTTTTATTTAAAATATTAATTATTAATCATGGTTGTGGATGTAAGTATTAAAGAAAATTTTTTAAATAAAAATGTATTTATTAATAAATTTCTTAATTTATTTAAAAAATTAATAACATTTTTTTATAAATTAAAAATTTTAATAAATTAATTCTAAAAATTAATATAAATTGTTATTTTTATAACCATTAATATAATATAGGTGTGAACTATAAATAAATAAAATTTTGGTTTATTAAATAATGAGTTTTATTAAATTGCACTGTACTTTCTTAAATATTGACGTTTTTAAAATTATAAGCTCATCGCGGTGTTACACTCATCAAGAGCTTTCATTTGAGTACCCACATGCATTTTTTATATATTTTTCATATATACATATATAAAATATATATAAATATATGAAAAATTGATGTGGGTACTCAAATGAAAGGTCTTGATGAGTATAACTTCAGGATGAGCTTATATCTTTAAAAATGTCAATAGTAACATGCATTTTGATATATTTTTCATATATACACATATATTTTAAAGATATAAGCTCATCTCGGTGTTACACTTATCAAGAGCTTTCATTTGAGTACCTATATGCATTTTTTATATATTTTTGATATATACATATATATAAATATATAAATATATGAAAAATTGATGTGGGTACTCAAATGAAAGGTTTCCATGAGTGTAACATCGGGATGAGCTTATATCTTTAAAAATGTCAATATTTCACAGGATACAGTGCAATTCAACAAAAGTAATTATTTAATAAAGCAAAATTTTATTTATTTTGACTGCAAAATTGCTAGTTGAAATTTCATACAAATTTATCTTTACAAACCCACCGTAAGAAATATCAAACTTCCTAATTCAATGAAGAAGAAAGAAAAAATATTTTAACTTAAAATTAATAATATTTTTTTTTTTATTAAAAAAAGTAAAATTGACATCTTTGATATCTAGAGAGAATTTAGCTGACTAAATATTAAAAATTTAATTAATAAATGTTACTCACATCAATATATTGACATTCAGCGGATGCGTAATGACAGGATATCGCCTTTCGCGTGCGATTTGATTTATTAACCCCTGAGCCGTGAACAAGCAAGGGATGGAAAAATACAGTAAAAAATTGATGTGGGTATTCAAATGAAAAGTCTCGATGAATGTAATGTCGAGGTGAGCTTATATCTTTAAAAATGTCAATAGTAACATGCATTTTGATATATTTTTCATATATACACATATATTTTAAAGATATAAGCTCATCTCGGTGTTACACTTATCAAGAGCTTTCATTTGAGTACCTATATGCATTTTTTATATATTTTTGATATATACATATATATAAATATATAAATATATGAAAAATTGATGTGGGTACTCAAATGAAAGGTTTCCATGAGTGTAACATCGGGATGAGCTTATATCTTTAAAAATGTCAATATTTCACAGGATACAAGGTCATTTTTCAATTAATATTGATATTTTTAAAAATATAAGCTCATCCTGATGTTACACTGATCAAGAGCTTCAATTTGAGTACCCACTTGCATTTTTTATATATTTTTCATATATATATATATATATATATATAAATATATAAAATATATGAAAAATTGATGTGGGTACTCAAAAGAAAGGTCTTGATGAGTATAATATCGGAATGAGCTTTTCACTTTAAAAATGTCAATAGTTCTCAAGATACAAGTTCATTTCTTAATTATGTATCTAGAGATAATTTTCGAATGCAGCTTAAATACTTATCATAACAAATTGACTATCTAAAATGATATAAAACCTTGAAAAGGCACAAGACCTTTGCAATAAACTAAATTTCTCTAAAAAAACCAATTTTATCATATGACTAGCATACAAAATTTTTTTTATTCTTTTAATAATATAGATAAAATTAAAAAAAAAAAGAATTATTTTTTTTTTAATTATTAAAATCTCAACAAATGTATTAAATAAATAATAAATAAATTAAATCTTTAATTTTAATAAATAATAAAATTAATAGTTCAAAAATTCCCGCTCATTTAAAAAATCCAGCAAACTTCCTGCAATAACAACCGAGCAATGCACACAACGCTCACCCCACTCTTTAAAATAGTGTATACACTCAGTCATAACTTTATTGTCATAATATACACATTTTCGACTATATAAAAATATTTTTAACAACGAATTTTTTTCGAGGTTAGTATTGCCATAATTAAACTAAACTCCGCATTTAAGCCTTGTATCGTCCATAAAACCCTCTAACTATCTAAGAAAATAATGATTAAATCAAAAATTGCTGCGTCATTTATTTGTTTATTGCATAATAACCTATTATCACGGGAAAGATTTTTTTATTTTTTATTTCCAACCGACTAATCACATTTCAATGTTGGTATCTAGTAATGCAAATGAAAATACGTAAGTAAACGAAAATAAATACACAAATAATTAAATAAATTTAATTTTTTCAGGAATTAAATTCGAGTTTTCGTGACACGACTGAAATTAAATATGATAAGCAAAAAAAATTAATTAAAAGATCCAAAATTAGAAAAAATGGATCTGCTAGTCGGCGACCGGATGATGGGAATCGCTAACGTGGTGATGAGAGTACCACCGCTGTTTATAATCGACGAGCTGCTGAGAATTGGCGTCGGGATGCCGGAGGATACAATAGTCCTTAATGCCACTGACTATGATTACAACAAATATGCCAGTGTCCAAAACACACTTGTCGGATCAATAGCCTCTGTCGCTTCAACCGAACCCTCTTTAATACACTCTTTTAATATTAATTGTTACTTTTTTCAAGCTTACGTTCTCACTCTTGTGAGGTTTTTTGCTTGCTCTTTTGGTAAGTCAATACTACGCATTATTATTTCATAGATGTTTAATGTTTATATGGGTCACTGTTACTTTATCACGCTTGATTAATTTTTTATGCGGAATTTTTTTTTTTTAGGTCCAAGTGGTGGAAAAAAAATTGACCAGAAAATTTATAGATTTTTTTTGGGGTGCTTCGTTTGAAACGACTATTTTTTTTTTTTTTATTAAATACTGTAAAAAATTCCCTTAATTTTGAGCTCTTAATTATCAATTCTAAGTAATTAATTTTTTAATTATGAATTTATTTTAAAAAATCCATTTTTAGAAGCTCTAAAAAATTATAAATGCAATTTTTTTTTAAATAATATTCTAGGCCTAGTTTATTATTTAAAAAATAATAAACAATTTTAATGTCTTAATTTAAAATTATTTAAAAAAAAATTTTACATGTATAGAAATTAAAATAGCGAATTTTTTAAAATATTTAATTTATAAAAATTTATAATACAGTAGAAACTCTATATAACTAAAGTTATACCCTGATTCAGAAAGATGATTTGAAATGATTACCCTATTTTTTATATAAATAATGTAATATATTTTTTTTTTCTAATTTTGTGAAAAATTCCCCTTGAATTTGAGCTCTTAATTTTCAATTCTAAGTAATTAATTATTTATTATACTTACAATAATAATTAAAATTGAGATAATTTTTTAGAAACTTTTTAATTATTAATTTCTGTCTAAAAAAAATTTATTTTAACTGTCGTGAATCTGAGTAGTAAATTTTTTTTAGCAAAAAAGCCATTTTTCCAAAATTTTGACTTATATGGCCAATTTTTAGAACGCCATCTATAAATTAACCAAATTTCAAACCATTAGAAATATTGAAGATCTCGTCAACGAACATAACACAATTAGTTAAAAGTCTCAAAGCATTTAAAGCTCTAAAAAATTATAAACGTAATTTTTTTAAATTAATCTAATTAATTCTAATTAATATTTTTTATAAAATTTTTTTTTAAATTCATATATAGAAATTAAAATTGCAAATTTTTTAAAATATTTAATTTATAAAAATTATATAATGACTAATATTCGAAGAATAAGTACTTCAATTCTAATTTATTTCACAAAACGTCATGATTTTTATTAAATAATACATCCAATTATTTCGGCACTGTTAATATAATACCAAGACAGGATTGTTTGATCTAAATTTTTTGTTGGTATATTTTTAATATTTAATTTTTTTCTATATAAAAATCATGTATTTCAAATGAAGCACCCTATTGTACACTGTAAAAAATCAGTAATTAATTTTTACTTTCATCACTCGTAGTAAATTTACAAAAAAATTCCTTGATTCAGAAAGATGATTTGAAATGATTACCTTCATGTTAATTTAATTTTATTTATTTACTTCCCAAAATTACATATATAGCTGTACATATGATCCCTATAGAGACAAATGGTTGGCTTAATGCCTAGTGATATACAAAAAATATTTATTACTAATAGAGTCACTCTCTGATGAGCCTTAAAGGATAAATTACAATTTAATTTTTGGTCTATTTTATATTAGGTTTTTTGTATTTGATAACTGAGATTGTATTGTTTTAGAAAATTAGTTGATTCAGTGTATTTGCTAACCATTTTTGTATTTTAACCTTGTATTTAAATCATTTCAAATTAGATTTCTTAATCAGGGTTAACCATCAAAATCTATAGAGAATTTTTGTTTTAAAATTTTCAAAACTTTCCCCTATAAAGTGACCCATATTTTCTCTAAAAATCAAACTTAACTTCCTAACCCTTCAAACTTTTAGGTATCGCCGCCTCTCTTTACATATTTATGCTCTGGACCGGTCATTTAATAATCGTCTACATGTACCTGATCTCAGTAGGAACAATATTCGTGTCCTACTGGTCAAACGTTCGAACAATGCAATCAATAATCTCCTACACTCCAACTTACGACCCAAACATCACACTTCTTAAAAGCGTATCCGAAGTTCTCCCCTCAAGCATCAGTCACCTTTTGGACGGAATTGGAATCACCGTAATCCAGAACTACTTGCTCCAATTTTCCCTGGCGACAGTCTTCTACTACATCAACCTAGCTCCGCGTCACGTTCTTCTGGACAAGTTGCTCTTCATAAGCTTCCTCACCCCCGCAATCCTGGGGATTTTTCCACTACCTGTAAGTATCCCCCAACCACAACCAACCAACCAAACCAACCATTAACCAAAAACTAAGAAACTAACCACCCAATTGTTTCAGCCAAGTGTCTTGCACCACGCACCAGCGCTAGCAGCCCTGCTTCCCCTGCTAGTCTGCAAGTTCATCCTGTGGTACAGCAGCATCTCCATGATAAAGATAATCCACTCTGGGTACCGCCACGCCAGAACCTTCATCAGCAACTACGGACTATCAGCATTAGCAGAAATCGAGTGGATGCGCCTGAACGTGCCCAACGTCCTTCGAACATTCTGGCTGTTGCGAGTCCTGGAGCAAGTCGTCCAATTACTAAGCACCCACTACACCGATGATTCCTTCACCCTATCAACCCTAATCCGAACATTGTTGGTAAACGGCTGTGAAACACTTACCGCATTACTGGGTATGACTTCCATAATCTCATCCATCTGCCACTACATTGGGTGCTTCTTCCGTTGGGTTTTGCTCACCGAGGACGATGAAGAGAAGAGCATCGGAACCGTCTCCGCAATTCTGTTCTACATCCTGGCTCTGCAAACTGGCCTAACTTCCCTAGACCGGGAAAAACGCTTGGTCCGGCTCTTCCGAAACTTCTGCCTCTTGTCCACCGCAGTTCTGCACTTCGTCCACAATATTGTGAACCCAGTTCTGATGTCACTAAGTGCTTCGCACAATCCAGCGTTAAGAAGGCACTTAAGAGCGCTAAGTGTCTGCATATTCCTGATCATCTTCCCAATTATCCTCCTGGTCTTCCTTTGGTCCCACTTCAGCCTGTCCACTTGGCTTTTAGCAGTTTCAATATTCTGCATCGAAGTTATTGTTAAAGTTTGCGTGTCATTGGCAATTTACGGACTGTTCCTTTTTGACGCCTATCGAAGCACATTTTGGGAACCACTTGATGACTGCCTCTACGTGATTCGCAGCTTTGGGAACACAGTTGAATTTGCTTTTGGCGTGATTCTCTTCTTCAACGGCATCTGGATCCTCTTTTTCGAATCTGGTGGCGCTATTCGCGCTATTATGATGGGCATTCACGCGTACTTCAACATTTGGAGCGAAGCTAAAGCCGGATGGAGCGTTTTCATGAAGCGACGCACTGCGGTTTATAAGATCAACTCCCTTCCAGAAGCTAATAATGAACAATTGCGCAGCCTTGATGATGTTTGCGCGATTTGCTATCAAGAAATGAGAAGCGCTAAGGTTACTAGGTGCAACCATTTCTTCCACGGGGTCTGTTTAAGAAAATGGCTCTATGTTCAGGACAGGTGTCCGCTCTGCCATGATATTCTTTATAAAGTAGAGGTTCCGGCGGAAAAGGAACCGGTTCAGGCACCTGGAGGCAGTAATCAGGATAATAATAATCAAGAGAGGGATAATGGGGTTGAAATTGAACGACCTGATTTGGCGCCTGGAAGGGAGTCTTCGACGATTATCAGGTGAAATAGGCTAGCCAATTTGTAATTATTGGTTATATTAGGTTATTCTTAACAATTTGTGATACGTTTTGTTTTATGGCGTTGAGGTCGATTATTTAATTCAAGGGGTAATTCAAGGGATGATTAAGAGGTTTTTTTTTGGTTGAATTTAAATTGTAATTGGAGTGGATTGTTTTTTTTTTATTTAAATTTTTTAATGTGATCTCGGGAGGCTATGAGCTTACTGTAATGACTAATATCCATTGTTGGTTATATTATAATATGTATAAATATCGTAATCGACTTTTTGTGAGGATATATTTGATTATTGTGTACTTGAGGATAAATAAAAAAATTATTTAATATATTTCAAAGATTTATTTAGTAATCTAATTTTTTAATTTTTGTTTTCTGCCTATTAATAGATAAAAAGTAATAAAATTATAATTTAACTGCACACCTATTTTTTTTTTAATAACTATTATTATTATTTTTATTTAATTTAACGCTAGTTTGTTATTTTAGATTTTTTTATTTTTGCACGCCTCATAATGCTTGAAAGCGTGTGTTAATTTTGACATTAGTAAATTATTACTTTAATAATAGATAAATTAATTAGAAATTACAGAAAAAAATTTCTAATTTTATGAAAATTGCAATTATAATTTTTTAGAGCTTTTAGAGATGAAAATTATGCTTTATCAAAAGCATGAATTTTGTTAAATTGCACTGTACTTTCTTAAATATTAAAGTTTTTAAAGATATAAGCTCATCCTGATGTTTCACTCATCAAGAGCTTTCATTTGAATACCCACATGCCTTTTTCATATATTTTTCATATATACATATATATAAATATATAAAATATATGAAAAATTAATGTGGGTATTCAAATGAAAGGTCTCAATCAGTGTAACATCGGAATGAGCTTATATCTTTAAAAATGTCAATATTTCTCCAGATACAAGATCATCTCTTAATTATTGACATTTTTTAAGATATAAGCTCATCCTGATGTTACTCTTATCAAGACCTTCCATTTGAGTACCCACTCGCATTTTTGATATATTTTTCATATATACATATATGTAATATATATAAATATATAAAATATATGAAAAATTGATGTGGGTATTCAAATGAGAGGTCTCGATGAGTATAACATCGGAACGATCTTATATCTTTAAAAATGTTAATAGATCTCAAGATACAAGGTAATTTCTCAATTATGTATCTAAATAGAAAATTTTCGAATGAAGCTTAAATACTTATCATCATAAATTGACTATAAAAATTTCTTCTCAATTTTAAAACTAAAATTTATTCAAGCAAAATAAATTGCCAAGAATTCTTGGGGAAAAACCTGGAAAAAACTTGAGCAATCCCTAGTGACGTCACTAAATTCACGGTCATTGTCATTATAAATATGCTTGATTCTCAATATAATACCGGTCTCAGTCTGTTGAACAATCTTTCTCGCTCGACAGCGTCTTGAGAGTACTAATACAACACACATTTGTCCTATGCTAACACAGAACACACACAGGCACACAAGTATAGAGAAATCGGATAAAAGTGGGGAATGAGGATACACGGTTTTAATCTTACAGGTGAAGAGTACCGTAATGTCCAGTTTTTGTATCGCTTCAGAGAAAATAATTCCATCATACATAAATATTGTACATCAATATCATTTTACATTAGTTTTATCTAAACTTCTGACAAGCTAACGTTAAAACTTGTTTTTCATGTAAGTATTTTTTTATTAGCTTCATTTATAATTTGATTATTGGTATTGATATCCAAAATAATTTGTTATTTATACTAATAATTAATTTTAATTAACTAATCAATGTCAATGCTCAAATTTAATTTTATTAAAATCATTAATAATTTTTATAATTATTAATAATTTTAATAATTATTAATTATTAATAATTTTAAATACAGAAAAAATTAAAAAAAGCACCCGGCATTTGTAATATTAAAAATTTTTTAATTTATTTATTAAAATTTTTTATAATTATTAAATTGTAAAATTTTTATTTTAATAATTATTTTACGGTTTAAAATTAATAAATAAATTTACATATTAAATTTTATAAAAATTAGAAATAATTTTAAAAAATTGCAAAATTGTAAAATTTATAATTTTAGCAAAAAAATAAATTTTTTTTACTTCAAATTTTATTGTATAAAATAATGTTTTTTTTTTTTAAAAAACTTAATTTTTTAAGAGAAAAATTTTTTTTTTTATTAAAAAATTTAAAATTTTCAAATTATTTTGAGAAAAATAAAGAATTATTATTTTGTAAATTATTATAAAAAATTTCTAAAATTTTTATAATAAATTGCGTAAAAATAAATTGATATATTTTTAACCGGTCAGTAAAATCTTGTGCGTGCATTAAAAATTTCTCTTCGTAAAAAAACTGATAAAAAGTTTCATGCCCTGTTGTTTATTTAGATTAAAATAATAATAATAATAATAATAATAATAATAATAATAATAATTAAATAATGATAAACTGAAAGCAGATGTATGATAAAATATTAGTTTTTTTTTTTAATATATATATTGCATTGACCATTAGAAACTATGTTTTTTACAATAATAATAATTAATTGAGTTCTGTGTGAAAGCATATATATGCACTCAGAAGAAACAATTAAAGAGCGATTCACTTTCTTTACGCTTATATTAAATAAATCTCAATCTTGATTAATTAAATAGAAATTTGTTTTAATTTAAAACTAGCAAATAAAATTTTGATTTCTTAAATAATGACTTTCATTAAATTGCGCTGTATTTTTTTAACTATTGACATTTTTAAAGATATAAGCTCATTTTGATGTTATACTCATCAAGAGCTTTCATTTGAGTACCCACATGAATTTTTGATATATTTTTCATATATACATATATATATATAATATATATAAATATAT